ACAGACTGGACGATAGAGCCACACACAGGGCTTCCTGTACCCCCGCAGCTCACCGCTGTTGCGAGCTGTTCCAGTCAATCACGGGGAGGGGGGAGGGGGAAGAAGACACGCACAAGCTAAGCCAGCAGGAAACAGGGAAGGGAGGAAACTTAAAAGCAATCCAAATGAGCAGTATACTTCCAGACATTCCATGCACAGTAAAATCTAGGCTGAGCTTGGTGTGGTACCACCCAAGCACAATCCCAGCCTTCTGGGAGGTGGAGGCAGAAGGATACCAAGTTCCAACCTGAGCAATTTAGGGGGAGTTTGTGTAGGAGGACTGCAGTTGTATCTCAGTGTGAAGGCCCAGAGTTCAGTTCACAGGATTTTGCTTCTGAGCTCAAAATAAATAAGGCTATCAAATAAGAAATAATTTTAAGTACTCAGAAATAATCTCACATTCCAGATGTGAATAATTACTGTGCTCAGTAAGAACTTATGCAAACTCACAACTGGTTAAAGTTCAAAATTCAGTTATTTTGCTAGAAAATTGGGTTAGGTTTCTAGAGCTGCTGTAACAAGGTACCACAAACAGCATGGTTTAAATAACAGATACGCAGGCCAGGCGAGGCAGTGAGTGCCTATAATTCTAATACTCTGGGGGACTAAGGCAGGAGGATCAAAAGTTTAAACTCAGCTTGGGCAAGTTAGAGACTTAGCAAGACCCTATCTCAAAAAAAAATTTTTTTTCTTTTAAAACTGGCTGGGGACATAGCTTAGTGTGAAGGTGAGGGTTCAACCTCCGGTAAACATACATATTATCTCTTAGTTCTAGAGGCTGAAGTCCAAGATCAAGGTGTCAAGCCAGATGTGATGGTACCCTGTCTCAAAAGACAAGAAAAGGAAAACACAGAACAAAGTGTCAGCAAGGTGGCACCTTCTGACACTTATGCAGGAAGTGTCTGTCCCAGGCCTCTCTCCTTGGCTGTGAGACCTTTTCCGTGTCTCCTCACATTATCTTCCATCAGTGTCCATCTGTCTGAGTTCAGATTCTCATTTGCATAAGGGTACTCTTGGTATGTTCCTCTTTGCTAGGACAAAATACCTGATACCTGCAAGTTAAAAGAGGAAAGATTTATTTGAGTTCACAGATTTTAGAGGTTTCAGTCCAGTCAGCTGGCTCCAAGGCTGGGCAGCATGGCCAAGGGGCATCGCAGAGGAGAAACAGTTCATGGCATGGCAGGCAGGAAGCAGCAAGCAGCCGCCTTCCTACTTTATTCTCTTTTTATTCCATCCAGGCTACAAACCTAGTTATTGGTTGTTGCCTCTCACACCCACGGGGCCTTCTGTCTTCAGTAAACACATTCAGCCACATGCAGAGCCTCTCTCATCCAAATAGAGCTAATTCAGCTATCACACGCTGATGATCCAGTCACCTCCCCAAAGCCCCACCTATGAGTGCAAGAGGCTTTGGGGGGTCATCCAGAAATAAGCCACAATGGACACCAATCATATTGGATTGTCACCCACCCTGATAAGCTCATTTTAAGGTGACCATCTCTGTGAAGACCCTATCTCCAAGTAAGATCGCATTCTGAGATACTGAGGGTCAGAACTCTGTTATACTATGCCTTCTCTGGGGAGAAGAGCACAGGTCAGCCTATAAAGCAGAGTACGTAGGGTTCACAGCCTGGGTTGGAATTCCAGCTCTGTGAGACCCTGCTGTACCTCATTTCCTTCAAGTGAGGCTAATACAGGTAGAACCTTCCTCCTGCCATTGTGAAGACTGACTGACAGTCCGTGTGTACTTAGAATACCGTGAGGAGCCACATGCGAGAGATATTTATCTAAAATATTAGTGAACACCTAGTAAGTGACAGGCACTGTTAGAGGTACTTGAAAGACAGAAGCAAGCAAAACATAAAAATGCCCTGCTTGATGGAGCTCAGAGACTGGAGAAGAAAGACCACGTAGGACACAGACCACCAGGCAGTAGTCAGTGCTGATGAAAAGTCAAGTGAGACAAGGGCTAGAGATCATTGCAGGTTGCAATTTGGGGTTAGGGATGCCATTCAAAGAAGGACCAATTATGCTGGGCATGGTGGCACACGCCTGTAATCCCAGCACTCAGAAGTCTGAGGCAGGAGGATCGTTGTGAGTTCGAGACCAGCCTGGGCTACAAAGTGAGCTCAAGGCCAGCCTGAACTGCATAGCTGTGGAGAAGGACATTCTTTAATTAGAATGCATTGAGGACACAAGATTTCTTTATTATTTGTTAGAGTTTCTTAAGATAAGACTTCATTATACAGCCCGGATTGAATTAGCCTTGAGTTTATGATCCTCCTGTCTCAACCTCTTGAGTGCTGGGATTACAGGCATGTGTTGATTTGCATGTGGAGAAGGATAATCCTTTAATTATCCTTGCTAAAACGGTTGGTATCCGCCCATTTGTACTAGCTATGCCCTTGGTTCTCTCTCAATAAAAGGTGATTGAGATTGGTAAGCAGGGCTGCAGTCCGAGAGGCTGTAAGCCCCCTGATCATAGACTTGCCTCTCTTGTTTTTCTTGTCTCTCTTACGTTTTCTCTTCGTCTGCGGCACCTCGTTCTCGGGACCTGACACCCTGAATAGAAGGACACATAGCGAGACCCTGTCTCAAAAAGACAGAAACAACAAAACAAAACAAAACAAAACAAAAACACCCCAAAACAACAACAACAGCAACAAATAAGAACCAACGGTGGAGAAAGCATTTTTCAGGTAGAGAAGTTTCCAGACCTCAGCACTCTCGATGTTCAGGGCTGGATGCTTGGACTTTGCTGTGGGGCTGCCAGGGGCATCGGCATCCCCGGTCTCTACCACTAGGTATAGATAAATCTTTCCTCGGTATCGCCCAGTCCGGACAGTCTGACAATCAAAGTAACTCAGGACAGGGCCACATTGCCCCTGGGGACTGCGATGGGAACTGCTCCAGGGGCGACCACGAGAAAGCAGAAAAGCAAAAGCCCAGAGAGCTGCACCGGCGGCTTTGCTGTCTCAGGCACAGTAACAAGGCAGCGGCAGAGGTGAACCAGAAAGAGGACGACGCTGTCCCTGTGACCCGAGGCCATTCTTTAGACAGACAGAAAGCCACTGGAGGGTCAAGAGCAAAGAGCGCAGCTCGATCCGCACTGGAAAAAGACCCCTCTGATGGCCACACCGAGAATTTATTGTGGGTGAAGGGACAGACGCAGACTGCCAGGCTGGGCGGGCTGCCCCCGAACGCCATCGTTTCCTACGTGGTCTGTTTTGTTCACTGGTTTGCCTGGGTGTTGGTGGGGGCAACTGAGAAAGTTGGTCTAAGATGCTCTGGGGAGGAAGGAAGGAAGGAGAATTTGCATAAAGAGAAAGAAAAAGCTACGAACGGGCAAGATGGCTTTATTTTTCAGAAATGGAAGACAGGGCGGTAATAACATCAGCTGGACAGCGAGGGGTTGTGGAGGACAAGGAGGGCGGGTGGGGCCGGTGGTGCACATGGTCTGGAAGGTCTCGAATGCACGACCGAGAACAGGACCCGGCCCGGCTGTCAGCACTGGGGGGCCCTGAGCCTTCTGCAGTGGGTAAAGCTCCAGAGCGGGGCCAGCGCGATTCCAAGGCCTGTCCCGAGAGCAGGCGGAGGCGCGCCCACAGGGGCCTGGTGTAGGCGCAGGAGGCAGAGGGAGGTCGGCCCTAAGCTGCCTTGCAGTCCCTTCCTCAGGGCGCTTTTGCGGGCAGGGCGCGGGCTCCACCGCCCTGGAGGCTCCGCCTCTCCAAGGCCTGGCCGGACGACCGGAGCAGGCCGCGGGCTGTCGCTAGGCCAGGAAGGCGGAGCGCGGCCCGCACCCGGACGAGGCAGGCTGCATCTACGGAGTCCTTCCAGGATGCCCATGCATTTCCACTGTAGACTAAAAACGCCTGGGCAGGTTTGGCCCGACAGTGTAGATCACCAAGCCAGTGTCACTAAACCGCAGGCGGGAGCAACAGGCACGCCTTCCCCCTTGTCTTTTTCTACCATGGAGTTGAGCAAGGAGCCCACAAAGGCACAAAACATACGCTTCTCCTTTTTTTTTTTTTTTTT